TAAGTTTAACAAGATGAAGGCAAAAATTATAAATATGTCGATCTTCAACCACTTAATATTAAAAACATAAGCAAAAAAATGAAGATAAAAAGAAGCACATGGCCAATGTATTCTTATGCCTCAATTGTTGGATCTATTATGTATGCTAAAATTGTGATTCAATCTTAAATATAAGAAAAACTGCTTTAAAAATAAAATTATGAACACTATATACTTTTTTCCACTTTCAAATTTTTATAAAACATTTAGTTTAAATTAATGACAAGATCAATAATAATCAAAAATAATTTTTTTTTTTTCATTCTTGTCACATCTCAAGAGGATATAATCATAATCATAGATATTGTAAGTAGTAAAACAAATAAAATATAGAAAAAAAGATGCAAATTAGATTTATAGTAGTTTGTCTACTAGCTTACATCCACTCCCAAAGCCTTTTACTTGATCATTCCACTAAACTATCTTTTTTTGTTCGACGAAAGGTAGAGATTCCCTCCTCTTGGGCTATTGAAGAAAATTTCACACCTCTTTTTCTCCAATAAAAGAATGGCTACCTTAGCCTTTTAGTTAGTTCTCATAAACACAAGAAGCTCTTCCATAAAATCAATAGAATCTTTATAACTAATTTTTTTTTTAAATCACAAATTTGGGCAATTAAATATTAGGATTAAAGGTATGATAAGGGAAAATAACCAAAGTGCATAATCTCACATACATGCTTCTCTTTGAGTTTTGAGAAAAATAAAATAAAATTGAAAGTTAACATGAAGAAATTCTTTCTCCCCATTCTCTCACTTAATAGTAGTCTCTCACATAAAAAACACATTTTAGTGTTCAAAGATGAGTATTTATCATTAGGCGTTTTGCTTAGAAACCTTAAACTACTACCAAAGGAAAATTTTGCCTAGTCATACAATATGATAAAAGTATCCAAATTCAGATGTATTACTATGGGAAAATAAAACAACACAAATTCAGATGTACTATTATTGTGATCATACAATCTCAAAAGATAAAAAAAATATTCTACAATGGATTAAATAAAATTATATTTAAAAAAAATATTAATTTCACAATCAAATACACCAAGAAGAATAATGAAATATCACAAAAAATAAACATGATATTATGTAAAGGTATTTAAAAATAAAAATGGGGTTTTAAAAATCAATAACAACAAACAGAATAACATATCTTTTCAAAGGATAAATATGATATTCTATAAATGTATTTGAATATAAAAAAGAGTACTAAAATAAAAAAAACCATGTTCCCATAGATTTTTTTCCTTAACTTTTTAAGAATAAGATAGGACTTATTTTAATAATGTAGTCACAAGTTCTCCATAAAAGATAAGAATTTATGATTAATTAAATCTTAAAAGATGTGAATCCCTTGAGAATTCTCTCAATTAATATAGTAGCTATTATCTTTTAAATTTTAAAGTTTTAAGGTAAATATTAGGAGTTCTAAATTTTTAAAGAAGATTAGTACAAATTTGAACCGCTCTTTTAGAATCAAAGAAAGAAAATTAGGGAGCACTTTATTCTGAGATGCTTATAAGTACTTTATGATTTTTTTTTTTGCGCTCTTTTATATCTACTGATCTCCTACAATTATACTATCTCCTTTAGAACCTAGAATATTTAAATATCTTATGTCTAGGAATGCTAACATTCTATCTCAATATTTCTGATTGTTCTAGCATTCATTCATCAAGGTTATACATCACATTATATGTTAACTACACACAAAGCCACTATATGCATTAAATGAAGAATAAGAGATAATTGAGAACATCATTAAATCTTTAAAGTACAAGAGTCTTTATTAGTACTTAATATGATATTTACATTTTTAATCCAAAATAAGATATTTAACCAAACATAGAATAAATAATATGCAAACACATTTTCATTGTATTTAAAGAAGAATCAAAGAATATGAGAAGTAGTGAAAATATCATCATGTAGAATCAATGTATCTCCTCTACATTCCTTCTTCCTTCACTTTAGAGTTCCTATAATAAACACAAACTAAATTCTCTAATAGAATGTATCATAAACTTCACTAGCCTCACTTAGATTTTACTCTAAGAGGGTACTAGAGAAGCACATTGGAAAGTATAAAGTTTTACTCAAGTGAATGAACTCCTCTACAAATAGAAAAGAACATCTAATTATAAGAAAACACTGAAAAATGTATATGATGCTCTGATGCTTGAAAGTATGTCGCTGTAGTGCTTGAGAGTGAACTAGCACCTCTGTGCTAAAATATTTGCTTAGTCGCGGTGCTTAATGATATGGAATGCTTATATAGTGAACAAATGTATTTTCACATAAGCGATATTGCAAACCTGATCTAAGCACTATGATTTTGATGATAACAAACATTATTGTGTATGTTATTATTTTTTTTCCTAATTTTGTGATATTTTTGTTTTATTTTGTGTACTAACATTTCAGAAAATTAGTTCACCATTCACTTGCAATTTTGATCAGCTCAAGGCTTGGTAGATTAGGGTTACAGTATGTATTTTTTAATTTGTTATGTATTTTTTCCTTCTTGAGTCATATCATATAATTGAGTGGATATCATTACTAAGGAACCTTACACACACATAGGTTGTAATGTACAATTTTGGCTTGGTACAATACAACTTTGTTTCATACTATATGACTTTAATTCGTAATGTATGATCTATTGTACTCTATCAAAACTCTGGCCGCCATAGGTTATGAAGTATACTAATTATGTGCTGATTGTATAGTACGATTTGGTTCGTACTATATGCCCTAGTTAAAATTTTTCTTAATTAATCTCTCGAAATCAGACAATCAAATCATGGAAAATTATTATCATTGATAGTATTGTATGATACAGTTCGTACAATATGATTGACAGTGTACAAAATTGGTCATCTCAGATATCATACTAAATTAAATTTATGATTTTAGTATTGATCGTATTATATGATGTCCATAGTGCTGGACGATCAACAGTGCACAAAGTTGGCCTTTCCAAGAGCTGTCCTAAACGAACAGAAAGAATTTCTACAGTTCATATCGGACGATCTTTTGATCGTACTATGCAAAGTGTTATAAAGGTTAAAAAGTTCGTCTACACGAACTTTGCTGGACAAGTCTAAATTTCACCGATCATAAGGTACGAACAGAAGACATAACTCTTGAAAATTAGGGTTTCTTGATGCCCACTACTTAAGGGTTTTTAATAGTTCCATTAGAAAATCTTTGGTTGTTTATACTTTAAGTGAGAGAGCCTTGAGGGAGAGAAGAAGATCTTTATGAGAGAAGAGAAGGAGATTTTGTGAGGGAGAAGTTGTGAGGGGATCACAAGATTGCTCCAAGCAAGAATATTATCTAATATCTATAAGCGTCTACCTAGATTCTCTGTGGTTCCTGAGAAGTAGTTTTTCAGCAAAGATCATGATTCTCTGACCATCATCAGAGGGTAAAAATAGAGTTGTGATTCTCTAACAATCACTTGGAGGGTGAAAATAGAGTTGTGGTTCTCTGAACAACACTTGGAAGGTGAAAATAGAGTTGAGGTCCTCTGCCTTTAAAAGAGTCACGATTCTCTGCCACACCTCGTTGGTGAAACAGCTTCTGTACGGGCTTCTCCGCCATACTGTGAGAGCAAAAGAAAAGTCACTACTACTTGATGCAATACTTGGAGAGAGAGTCTTTTAATTAAAATGTCAATGCATAAATGTATAACTTATAAATTCAAGTTAAGTCAATAGCTTAAATGATCTAAGCTAGTTAATTATTAAGTTTCTTAATATATGAATTATAATACAGTGTTCATTTAAACTATAATATATGATTTTCTTATTTTTATATATCAAAGAAAATCTAAGCATTATTTAAGATTGATAAAGATATAGATGTTTATATAATTTCAAAAATATACTCCACAACCCCCCATCACATGCTTAATATATTTAGCATTAGTACAATGAATTAGTAGTATCAAACATTATAGATGTCCATATCGGTAACAATATCAATACAATGTCACAAGTAAAATTGGTGACAGTAATAGCAAATCAATATAGTAACAGTAAATATTTATAATAACAGTAAATCAATAAAATATTAATAAAGCTTTACAATAATAACAAATTTGTAAAATTCATTTCGGTGGTAACACTTAAACAAATAAAAATCCTAACTATTATAGTATTTTTTAGTAGTCGATAATCAATAATCAGTGATTGTTGGCTCAATAAATAGAGGCGTCATTCTTTATCCGTCAGCATAGTAATAACTCCTTATAATTCTCAATTATTATATTATTATATCATGTGAATAAGTAGAGGTAACACCCAACCACAATATTTAAAGGAAAACCCGTCGACCGCCCACTATCGTGTACAGATCAATCAATCTTCAACCAATGAGTCAATCAATCTTTTCTTGTTTTTCAAACATATTAATATAACATTTTTTTAACAGGAATAGTTATCAGCTATCACACAACTATATGTCTATATTTATTTATAGTATTTGTATTAACAATATCCTTACATAAAAAATACTGACTTTTATTCAAAGAAAATCATAATAATTTTATCCTGTGAAATTTAGAAATGCTACAATTAAAATATTCAGAATAATCAATACGATAACATACAAAAAAATTGAGCGGAAGCTAGAAAATATATAATAAAATTAGTTTTGAGGAGAAGTCAGCAGTCAAAATCAAAATCATTGAAAATAATTATAGGACTAGAATCGACCTGAAAAACGGTAAAGCAATCCGAAGACCTAAAATTTAAATTTATTTCTATCTAGCGTAATTCAAACATGAATTCAAATTTTTTTCATTTTCAATTATTTTCAAAATTTCGGATTGTTACACCTAAGGCACTTATGAAACTGTTTAATCACTTACAATGCAAGACATTTAAGAATACTCCAATATTGAACCAAGTTGGAAGAGCTCAAAGTTTTTAAAATGCCAAAGGAACATACCACTATAACAACTCCTCAAACTTCATTAAAATCACCAAGTACAAAACTCATTTTAAATCTTACAAAGTAAGATGATTGACATGATTTATCACGAAAGAAGAGGTTCCAATCCTTAACAATAACCAATCACGTCTGCTTACGTAAAACCAACTGGAAGAACCAACTGCAACTAGCACAACCTATCCAGTTCCACCAGCACAAAACATACTAACTGATAGTCATGTAATACAGTAGCTGATGTTTCTTGGAAAAAAACTATTTAAAGATTTTCTAAAACCATGAGAAAGCTTTCTTCATTATGACCATCAAAACGATTTCAGAATGAAGTAACAATACGTACCAACTGTAGGTCACACAATGTACAGATTGAAGGCAGGAGAGATGTGGCAAGCTTACAGCATCGTTGAGTCTTGAAAGCCATGGCTCTCTACTTTAATAAAATAAAATTGCAATTTCTGATTCATTCCCGTGTGCATGGTTCATGATCAGTAAAACGAAAACCATAAGCGATTATGAAAATATCCATTTATACAGGTCTGATGACTGCAGGCAGCACCAAAATACAAACCAAGCATGCCACCAGTACAGTAACATTTTCATCCGTCAACCTAAAAGTCCCAGTGAAGCAATGTCATCTTGCTACTTGAGATTATAAGTTAAGGTTTTGTTTGATACAGCTTTCTTGCTATCTATTAAAGCAAATTTTTAGTAAAAAATAATTTTTTTTACTAAAAATTTCTAATAATAAGCAATAAGAAAACTGTCACAAACAAAGCCAAAAGATGCTCCTCATCTCACATTCAACTAATAAATAAATGAGCAAAACACCAAAAACCCCAAACATGCGTCATCCAATCCATAGAAGTCAAAGTCCAGTCACCTCAAGCAAATGAACATCAAATCCATATCTATGTTTCCAACAACACAATGAGATCCTCCCTCCATTGATTACTATCAGAAAGCATCTTGGTAACGAAAACATTCCAAATTTCCCCATCAAGAAATTCACTTTTGGAGGTAGCCTTTTGAAGCAACTTAACAATCTCCTCTATATCTCCTAACTTGTGAAGGCCATCAATCAAAACACTATATGTAAACTTATTGGGAACGCACATGCTCTCCATCATCTCCCCTAAAATCCTAATCCCCTCCCTTGGCTTCCCTGCCTTGCAGAATCCATTAATTAGCACGTTGTATGTAAAGACATTAGGGGCACACCTCCTCTCAACCATATCATCCCACAGCCTCCCCGCCTCCTGCAACTCCCCATTCTCGCACATGCCAGAGATGAGTGTGTTATAAGTCAATAAACTAGGAATGAATCCACTTTCAAACTCATCAAAGAGCTTCCTTGCCTCCGAAATCATCCCTTTCTTGCATAACCAATATATCAAGGTGCTGGAGATGGAGTTATCAGGAGTAACATTATTCTTCAGAAGCTTTTTCCATGTCGAACAAGCACCTTCCACTTTCCCATCTTCACAGAGAGCATCAATAACTTTACAACAGAGATTTGAGGTTGGTACAAACTTTGAATCCAGCATACTACTGATCAAATTCAGAGCTTCCCCCGCTTTCCTCTCCTTGCAGCATGCCTCGATCATGACAGTGTAGGTCACATCATTAGGCGCCACGCCTTGCAACTCCATTTCATCCATAAGACGGGCGGCATCGACGATAAAACCCTTGCGGCAATAACCATCAATAAGCACTGTATATGTGGTAACATCCGGCATCAACCCATGGCTTACAATCAAATCAAAGAGCCCCTTGGCACCACCAATATCGCCGTCAGAACAGTGTCCAGCAATTAACGTAGTATAAGATACAATATTGGGGACAATCCCAATACCAGGCATTTCATCGAGTACCTTGTGTGCGCCAGCCAGATCATGGACACCACATAAAGCCTTCAACAGAATGTTACAAGAGCAAACATTAGGGATGATGCCAAACTTAGAGTGGCAGCTGCGGAAGAGAGGGGGCACAAGGCGAAGCCGGCGGTTTTGAACCATGGCGTTAAGGAGAGCATTGAAAGAACGCACAGATCGCTGAACACGAAAGGAAGGAATGGAAAGAAAGACGCGAAGGGCGTCAGACGGGCGTGACGAGAGAGAGAATGCGCGGATGAGCGAAATGAAGGCGTCTTCGCCGCACCGGATGCCGGAACGGCGTAGGGACGAAAGGATTGGGGTAAGTAGATCGAAGGCGCGGGCACGGGCAAGGCGATCAATAATGGCGTGGTAGGAAGAGTAGGTTGGGGAGAAGCCACGGTGGAAGTAGGCGGCGTGGTGAAAGATGCGGAGAGCGAGGTTGGGGTCCGCGGCACGGCGGATCATGGATGCGAGGCGGCCGGGAGTGAGGCGAGAGGGCCATGGGCGAATGGGAGGGGTGATGTTGTAGGAGGCGAGGAGATCGGAGTTAGAGGTTATGGAGGCCAGATGGTCAAGATTGATTGGGGAGGAGAGGTGGGCGAGGTCGACGACTGTGGAAAGAGGTCGGAGGTGGAAGTGCAGCACCGGCGGCCGCCGGTGCATTTGGGCCTTTGAGATGATATTTCCGGTAAACATCAATGGGAAGCAATGTGTGTAAATTTGTATTTTATTAATTAATTTACTGAGCCTTTTATCTCAGAAATACAACAAATTAAACAATCAATCACACATATAAGTATAAATCAAAACAAATAACTTGATTTTCAGAATTAATGTATAATTTCAATCGTACTATATGGCTTCAATTGTATAATACGATATGAATGATATCTTAGTAATTTATGATAATTATATGGGTAAAATTTTTTTATTTACATAACTAATCATATTTTTTGTATGAACTATATCATATTAAAAAATTAGTTAATTCAAATAATGAAAATTTTTAAAAATATATAAATTTAAAATTTGAACCAATCTCTCATAACTAATTTGTATACTAAATTTTATTTATCATATTCATATTTACCTATTTTAGAACCTAAAATTTATGAATCGAATTATATATATATATATATAATCTTTTTTAATATATATATATATATATATATATATGGGATCTTAATCGTACAGCCTAAACAATAAAGAGCTTGTTAGACAAATCTCGTTCAAGCAGGATGATCCAATTATCTAAGACAGTAATATTGAACAAATCATATTATATGATATATGTATCATACTATACTATATACCCAAAAAATTTATTTAATCAGGAGTTTAGGGTTTGTTTTAAATCCCTAATATAAATAATTAACTAAAAAAGAGAGAATATGATTGAGAGTTAAAGAGTTTTGCCTAGAGAGAGACTATAAATTCTTGGAGAAAGTTCTTAAGAGCTACATGCCATAGTTTGGGGCAAAGGGCAAGAGAAATTGGAGAGAACATGAGGGACTTCATGGAATCATGCACAATTCCAATTCTAGGTGTGCTTTTGATAAAGATTTATGTATAAGTAGCATTTTAGGAAGGTTTAAGTTAAATCTTGCTGAAAAAAGTACTTAAATCTCTTTCTAAGTTAAATTATGAGATACTGTCATGTTGCATATTTTTGTCCTAAATTCCAAGTTTACTAAATCAGGAAGTTCGAAAGATTTAGAGGACTAACGATGAAACATTGGAGAAAGGAGTAGAATAATCTTATTCTCCAATCGGCCGATGCTCGATTGGTAGCTAGTCAAAGGTAAGTTTGAGAGTAGATGTCTTTTTTTTTTGGGAAAAATAGGAGCAATCATGCCAAATTTCATTCCAAAAATGAAAATTACAAAAGAGTACAAATGATAAGTAAGAAAAACAAGAAAAAACTTACAATATCAAACTAGAAACCTAAAGAAAAAAATAACTCCTAAAAAGGAGAAAATAAAGAGAAAACCTTCTAAAAAGAAGGAAAAAACAAAGAAGATAACTCTTTGACAACTTAGGAGAGAAACTCCTAAACAACCAAGGAGAAAAAACAAGAAAGCCAGCTTTTCGATAAAAAAAAAAAGAGGAGAATTAAGACTGAGATACAACAGCACAAACAGACCTAGCCAGATAATCAACTCGATCCTCAAAGTTTCAGCACTTGAACCTAAACTAATGCTCCAATAGTGAAGACACAATTCCACGGATCAAGAAAACATGATCTCAACTAGTCCCCCAATCAGTAGAATCTGTCAAAAACAGGAAAATAAGCAAAAAAGGTCTTTAAAAAGACACCAATAAAATTAAAGAAGGAATCCCAATCTGCTCAGTCGAGGAATAAGAGTTCCAAATATTGGTAGAAGATAGATCCAACCGTCTAGAAAACCTGCTCCAAAGGAGTCTACCAACCACAAAAACCCAGCATAAGATATTAGAAAACAACTACGTAAATTATAAAATAAAAAATTAAAAAAATTGGCCATCCACGATTTTTAGGAAACAATCTGGTTGCCAATTCTCCTAGTTAAAACCTCCATAATAGAATTAAAAGACTTCCAATGAGAAGCCTTAGCAATAAGATGAGAGTAAATGAATTTACTTAAAGCAACTGAGTTAGAGAGTTTATTCTCAAACTTTCTCTTGTTTTTTTCATTCCAAATAAAATAAATAGAACAATTAACATACAAAAATAAGAAATTCTTAACCTGAGAATTAAAGTTAAGAGAGGAAATAAAGTCAAATAATTGAACAAAATTTGGTCTGAATAGAAAAAAAAAATATTATGCAAGAAATTAGAAATAATATTAAATGTATAATCACAATAAAAAAAGATGATCATGATTCTCATAAGCTTTAGAATAAAGGATACAAGAAGTAGAGACACTAATATTCCTCTGAATCAGGATATCCGAAGTTTTAAGCCCTTTTAGAATAGCCATCCAAGCATAACAAGAATAACGCAAGGCATATATCTTATGCCAAATCATCTTAAACCAATCAACTTTATTAGAACCTTCAAAAAAACCTTTATAGAACATATTAAATGAAGGAAGTAAAACCCCATTCCAAGTAATGCTCGAGCCTTGTGGATCGAAAATGTCAATTTTAGGAAAAATAGAAGGGCTGGGTTTAAATAAGAAGGCAAATTCCAGCTTTTTCCAGAAATCCAATTCCCAAAATGAAAATTTTGGGAATCAAAACCCATAGTAACCCTTAATAAAGGAACTAATTCCTGAACCGAATTTCCAAAACACCATGGATCCCAAAATAAAGAAAGAGAGTTATTAGGAAAAGGAAAAATGTGAAATTGAAGCTTTTCTTTAATCTTTCTGGCAACCATAGTAATATTCTTCCATAACATGGAAACCGGTTCCTTCCAAGGTTTCCAAAAAGAGAAATATTTGTATTTAACCCAAATAACCAAAGGACCAAAATCATTAATAATTCTCCATATAAGAGAACAATTATGAGCAAAATTGAGAGCATCAAGATAAAAAATGCCCAGACTCTTTAGGCATACACACTTTATTCCAAGCAATAATATGAATTTTTCTACTGTTCAAATCACCATGAAAAAGGAAATTAGAGCAAACTTTTCTAATAAATTTATAACAATACTTAGGTAAAGCAATACCCCTGATCCAATATAAAATAACATTTGTAAATAGTGAAATTTAGAAATTGAACTCTCCCAACAAAATAGAGTAATTTAGCTTTCCAACCGGCTAACAAGACAGTAATCTTACTAAATAATGGCTGAAAATCAGCAGCTCTCAATTTCTTACAAGAGAGGGGTAAACCCAAATATTTAATAGTGTTATAAGTAGTTCTAATGCCAAGAATGAAGCTAATAGTATTTTCTAAAGGACTATCTTTAGAAATAATAAGAGAGCTTTTACTAGAATTAACTTGTAAACCAATGGCAGTCGCAAAACAATCTAAGATATTATTAAGATTTCTCGCATTCTCCAAAGTAGCTTTTCCAAAAGATAAGAACATCATCTTCATATAGAAGATGAGATATAGAACTATCACCAACTTTAATCTCCTCAAATCCATTGATTTGAGAATCATTATCCAAAATATTAGACAAGGAATCCATAATAATACAAAAAAGATAAGGAGAAAGCGGACAACCTTGTCGAATACCCGTAGTAGAATTGAAAAAACCATGCATAGAACCATTTAGAATAATATAAAAATTCACATCTTCTATACAACCTTTTATCCAAGTAATAAAAATCTTAGGAAAACCTTTTTGAATCATCCTAGAGATTAAAAAATCTCTAGAAACTTTATCAAATGCCTTATGAATGTCAATTTTTGCACAAAAAAACTTATCTTTAGGACAATGATTGAAACTCCTAAGAAGCTCAGCAGCAAGAATGATATTATCTGTACAAATCCTTTTCTTAATAAACCCAGATTGGCTATTATGAATAATAAAAGGCATCACACTCTGCATTCTGTTAGTAAGAATTTTAGTCACAATTTTATAAAAGACATTGCATAAAGAAATGAGCCTAAAATCCGAAACATTAGAAGCATTATTCATTTTAGGAATAAGAAAAATGGTAGTCGCTTTGGTAGCTTGAGGCATAAAGCCAGTATTGAAAAAATAATGAACAGCTCTACATAAAGTGGGACCCACGATATCCCAAGTAAGCTTAAAAATTTAAAAGTGTATCCATCTGGACCCGGTGTAGAGTTTTTTGGATTCTTAAAAATAACCTTTCTGATTTCATCAATAGAAATCGGAATAATCAAATCAGATTTAAGTTTATCTAGAATTTTATTACTAGTTGGTATATAGAAAGAAGAAGAATTGACCGGAACAGGAGAATTAAAAGTCGTTTTAAAATGATTAACAAAAGAACTAGCAATTTTAATATGATCCATAATGAGACCTTTATCAGATGAAATACCCTGAATTTTATTATAGTTATTTCTACTGTTATTTTTGGAATAAAGAAAACCAAGATCATCTTCACCATGAGTCATCCATTTTTGCTTAGCTCTCTGAGAAACCCAAGAAGACCAAACCGACATTTGATCTCTATAAAGTGAATTTATCTTAGTAAAAGCTGAATTAAGATTCTCATTCAGTGGATCCTTTTGAATAAGGCTATAAAGCTCACTTTGCTGCTTCTTTATATTGTCAATAGCAGAGGAAAGATACTTAGAAGAAGCCCAAACTTGCTTCTTGATTAATACTTTAAGAAGCCTGAGCTTAGAATAAAGATTATTAATCGGATTCTCAACAGAAGCTTTAGAAAACACCTCAATAAGCAGTTCCCAAAAGCTATCATATTTGCAGTAGTAATTTTTTAAACAAAAATCTATAATTAGAATGATTATTGTTATGCTACAAACAATAAGAGGGGAGTGATCTGAGCAAAATGGACTCTCCACAATATAAAAAGAAGAAGGAAAAGCATTTAACCAAGAGTTATTAACATAAATCCTATCTAATTTAATATGAATAGGATTCTTACTCTGCTGATTAAACCAGGTATAAAAATTACCTACATTCGAAAGCTCCAAAAGCCCATAAATACAATGATTGAAGGAATTCGAATTGTTAGCAGAAATAGCTCCTATTCCAAATTTTTCATTAGAAAAAAGGAAGCAATTAAAATCACCCAGCAATATCCACGGGTCCGTAATGTTAGCAGAAAGGTGAAGAATATCATTCCAAAGTTTTAATCTATCTATAGCAGAATTAGA